GCAAGGTGGATGTGTTGTACAGTCTTATGGCAGAAGGCAAGAATGACCTCCTGTAGCGCTCCCTGTCGCACCGTGGATGAATCAGTCTATTGCTGAACGTGCTCTTCATTTCTGCAAGCCTGTCATAGAGGTGATGGGAGATGTTGTCCATGATGGCCTCTAGTTTGGACACCATTCTCCTCTCAACCACTACCTCCAAGGGGTCCAGGTCAGACCCAATGACAGAGCTCGCCCTCCTGATGAGCTTGTTCAGCCTTTTAGAATCCACTGCTCTAATCCCAGGGCCCCAGCATACCACTGCGTAGAAAATGGCGCTCGCTACCACCGACTGATAGAATATATGAAGTATCTTTAAATTATTCCTTGGATTTATATATAGGAGGTAACTACCAATGAAGAGTTGGGAATGTGCAGCAGGGAGTTTGATCCTTCAGATAAAACTTGAAAGCCAAGATCCTGGAGAGCAATTTTATACCAGAAGGAGTTTCAACTCTAGTGTCCTAAAACTAGACTTAAAACTAAAGCAGTGAAGCGATTTATCACATCGCTTTTATCACAGATCTGCTCTGTTACCAGTGGGGTAACTGAGAGTTAATGGCTGCAGCACATCACCCAGCTGGGTTCTCCCTGGTTGCTGTGCTGTGCTTCAACCAACAGTTTAAAGAGATCAAGCTACAAGGTGGTAACAATATTGTACTATACATTACATACAGAGTATTGTATTACATTACAATACTATACATTTCGTTCATTTTCTCCTGTCGGATGGTTGAATGACACTGCCATTAACTGCACCTGTCCATTCATCCATTTTCTAACCACTTCTTCCAATTCAGGGTCACAGGGAGCCCGAGCCTGTCCTGGCAAGCAACAGGTGCAAGGAAGGATTCACCCTGGATGGGATACCATTCCAAAACAGGGCAGACACATACTCACTCCAGAACCGATTTTCTCAGAAGCCAATTAACCAACCAGCATGTTTTTGGACTGAACACAGGGTGAACATACAAACTCCAAACAGACAGCATCCCATGTCCGGAACTGAACCCAGGTTCTGCTTGTGGTATCACAAAGCCTAGTACTACAAGTAATGTACAGAGTACAGGGTGCAGGTTTAATTAAAACCAGTTTAAGAAGTCTGGTGAAACAAAGGTTAATTGAACTAATAACTAGAACTATATATATTCTCACTCTGGAAGGGTGAATTTAAATCTGACGAGCAACATCCTCGTTCGCAACTCTGAGCAAAACGAACAATTTGGTGACAAAAACGTCATAAAGCACCACAGCGACCACCGGAGGCAGAGGATTAGTAGGACAGTGCCGCTTCTCTGCGAGGACGTGAAGAGACAGAAACGAAACTGAAGGGAAGACTAACGCAGTAAACCGATACTGGATACTGAAAAAAGGAGGTGCCCAGATCTCATGATTCGCAAGACTACTATAAATATTGGCACATCCTTCCTTGTTATTGTAATACGATAACAGGCTAAAAATTTTGAATACACATAATTAAAACGGAGAAAAGTATGATCTTGATATTATAGGAATAAAACATGGTATAATCTCCCACTTTCTATTCTTTTGTTTTCACGTGACGTGAAACGGTACGTGTGTGGATGAAATAATCAAAACTTTCCTACATTATTGATCCCGGTGCCGAGATGAAATGACTGCACTGATGTAAGTACGGATTTCGGTCAATTTTTTAGTGAGGGTCTGTTTCACTTCTGCGTTGCTATTTTGTAAACCAATGTTGTTCAAAAGACATCGGTGGGTCTAAAACACGTTACAGCTGAACGAGAGGAACAGAAATAGTCCGTTGTGTGAATAGCCAATGCCTTTGAGGAGTGAGCGCTGTAAATAATGAGACACACTGTAATAGTTTTCATTACTGCAAGATAGATTATCATGTGGGCTACCTCTCAGCTACAATAAACGCTTTAAATAAACAAAGAAAACCTACTCTTCAGTTTGGTACCAGTGTGTCTAATGTACAGTGTGTCACAGTGTGTCTGTGTACGCTTTTAACTGTACCAAAAACGTGTTGAGGGCGGGTAATAAAGAAATGTGTTTTAAACTTTTGGAGACCAAGCTGTCCTGATGACTGCAGTGATAGACAGGAACTCTTAATGACTTCGGACCCCTGTTTTTACCATCCAGGTGAAAGGGCCAGAGCATCTATTTTTGCATTGACTTTATAGAAAGTGAAGTTCGAGGTGCTGCTTCAGCACAAGAAAGCCTTTTCAAACTAAGTAGTGCAGCACTTTTTCCACTAATATAAAATCCACTGACTACTTTAACACCTTGCGTTTTGTGGCTGATCAAATAATCAATTCAGATTTTGAGAAATCGCCACTGTTGTGTTATGTACAGTACTGTAATATTATAATAATACTTTATGAAATAATAATAATTGCCTACACTTATATAGCGCTTTTTCTGGACACTCCACTCAAAGCGCTTTAGTCCCCATCCCCAGCTTTACAGGTAATGGGGATCCCCTCCACCACCACCAATGTGCAGCATCCACCTGGATGATGAGACGGCAGCCATAGTGCACCAGAACGCTCACCACACATCAGCTATTAGTGGGGAGGAGAGCAGAGTTATGAAGCCAATTCAAAGATAGGGATTATTAGGATTATTATGAGTGGTAA